TTCCCTTTTGCCCCCCTATAATCAGGGCAATAGGGGACAATGTGGTCGGGGTCCCCACATTTGAGGCATTGATCTGCCTTCTTTCTTTCGGCCCAAATTTTCTCTGTGATTCCCAATTTTTTCCAAGGCTCTCCTTCCGGCAAGCCGGGATGAGGTGGGTATGGCTTATCCCACTTGTTGTACCATGAGCCTCTTCCTCTACCCCAGGTGGAGTAAGAACCACGGCCACCGTATGAGGGACMATTTCCCCTTCCTCCCACRTAGTGGCTTCCTTCACCACCACCCCTCTGGGTGCCGAATCCTCGTCCACCACGGACGCGACCTCTTCCTCGGCCACGCCCTCTTCCTTAACGCCCTSCCCCGCGGGCTGCAACAGCCGCGTAACTCCCCTCCTGAGCTAYCGGTCTATTGGGTTCATCGAGACCGTAATCTATTTGGTCCCAAGAGAGTGATTCGACACCTCCTTCTTCAAAGGTCAGAAGGAGGTTGTCTTTCCCAGGCATTGATCCTGAGTTGGTGCGGTTTTGCCATTTTTTGCCCGCTTGCAGATCTTTCCAATAGTGGCAATAGTTGGCTTCAGCCATAAATCCTGCATGGTCTAATGTAATCTTACAAAATTTTTCATAGGTCATCCCCTCCTCTTTAGTGCGGGGGTATAACTGAGTTCGGATGGGATCAGGTAAGGCGCGAGCAAAACTGTTCAAAATTTGAGCCGGGGTTAACCCATGTTCGGTGCACTGCAACAACTCATCCATGGTAGCTTTTAGTGTCGACGTGCTTTTCCACTTCCTGTCAGGAAGGTTCAAGATTAACATKTCTGTTCTTCGGGCGAGATTTTTATCTTCGAACCTCTCCCTGACGACTTTGAGAAAGTCTTCAATACGGGTTTGCTGGGAAAACTCTACCATTGAACTACATTCTGCTTCTTTTTGTAACGAGATTGCAAAACTCATTGCGTCATCGACCATACACGAAGTGGCCATCAACACCCTATCCCAATAAGGAATCTGTTGTCCGTAGACATAGGACTCTACAGCTGCCATCCAATGCAACACGCTTTCTTCCYTTTTGCCGGTGTACGTCCATGAAATTTTAACTTTAATTTTGTTGCTGGTCCTAGCTCCTTCTTCTCGCTGTCTTCCCTTTCCTTTCTTACCTCCGTCGCCTCCATCCCCGTCTCCGTCACCACCTCCTCCTCCGCCGCTGCCCTGCACTATTCTCTCTATCACGGCTGGAGTGAAGGTTCGAGTGAGATGATCATCTAGTTTGTTGATATAGGACTGAATGTGCAGATCTACGTCCTTGGCGGACTTCTGCAGAAAAGTGTTCCATACATTTTCAAACTCCAGATGATTCGTTTCAACTTTCTGCAAGGTCCTATTGATTGTAGCGACTTCCTGTTTCGTATGGAGAACTGTTTCAGTTAGGAGGGCGGATTTTTCTTCAGTAGCCGCTTGCTTTTCCTTTTGTGCCTACAGCTCGTGATGTAACCTCGCCCCCTCTGCTTGCAACTTTTTTCTATCATCAAGCTCTTTGCGCTTCGCCGCTAGCATCTTGTTGTGCAATTCAGTGCGTTTTTCTTCCAGCATCAGTTCTCTCTCCCTTTGATCTGTTACTAGTGCTAGCCTTGCTATGAATGTGTCTCGTTCTTCTTCTGATTCTTCTAATTTGTCACTGGAATAAGAATATTGGTTATACCAGTCCAATGGCTTGACAAATACTTCCCTCCGGATCTCACTTGTCTCGCCACTTTCTGCACGCCGCCTGGTAAGTCTTTCTCCCCCTTCCTCTGAGGCTTCTTCTTCTCCTTCAATAGTCTGCAACTCATCCTTTATCTCTTGTTCCCACTTTTCCTTTAACTTCCTCTTCATCTCGTCTTCTTCTAACTGGGCCTTTTTCTTTAACTCTTCTTCTTTCTTCTTCTTTCTTTCTTCTCTTTCTTTCTTCTTTTCTGCCTGCCGGTGGTCAATCTCTGCCTGCTCAGCAGGTGTTCACCCTGGCTTCACTGCTCCTGATCGCTTGATCATGCGGGATGTGCACACGCGTCCGAACCCCAGTGGGAATATGAACGTGAACAGTGGGCCCCACAAGACAGAGAGGGCCAACAGGCCCTGATTGGGATAGTCATCCATGATGACTGCTGGCACAGGAGACCCTCCGCCGGATCACCAAGATACTATCCCACTTACAGAGTTAGTTTTGACTTGCGGTAATGGAGTACTATACTGCCTCTTTCCCTTTTCGACTGTAGAAGGTGCTGCGTACTATCAACAATAGCTCAACCTGCAATGAACTT